GGGATCCGAACCCTCGGACGGGAGCGCCGCCGCGCTTCCCAAGCGGCGCACTATCCAGTGCGCCACCGGGCCGGCCCTGATTTCAGATTTTGATGATATTTAATAAAGCTACTTGTAGTATATATGTACAAGTTCTTTCATTCATTAGTGTTTTATAGTTTACAGTGTACAGATCTTACACATATTTTATTAAATTTATAGCTAGAGTTTTATGGTATTGGTATAAATGGTATTGCTTTTTTCAATTTACAATTATTCATTGCTAATAACTAGAAATAACATTGACCTTATATTTTGTGGCTTTGCTAAAATCCCTTTTGAATTGTAGTAGGATTATCATTTAGACTTTTTTGATTTTTAAATGTAAACAATCATGTCATTTGCTAATAACCTTATTTTTTCCTTTCCAATATATCTGCACTTTACTTTTTTTTTCTTGCCTTATTGCACTGTCTATACCTTTATTAAAATATCAGTAGCAGTAGTGAGAACGGAAATTCTTTTCTTGTTTACACTTCTAGGTGTAAAGGATTGCTCTTCATCTTTAACTCTGAAGTTAGCTGTACTTTTTTTGTAATTGCCCTTTATTTTAAAAAAGGCAATATTTTTGTGTTACCCTTTTTTTGAAATTGCCCTTTTTTTTATGAGAATGTTCCCTTCTATTTGGAGTTTTTGATGCTCTTTCTGCATCTATTTAGATAATCATACAGTTTTATTTCTTTAGTCTTTTAATATGCTGAATTACACAGACTGATATTCAGATATCGAACCAACTACTCATTGCCAAGATTAAGCCTTACTTTCCATCATGTATTTTTGTTTCTATACATTGTTGGGTTTAATTTGCTAAAATTAAAAACAAGAAAGTTTTTGTCTATATTTATGAAGGGTATTGGTCTACAGTTTTCTTTTATAACTATTTTGTCTGGTTTTGTTATCAAGATAGTGGTTGTCTTCTGGAATGAATTGTGATATTTTCCCTTTTTAATTTTTCAAAGAATTTGTGTAGAATTGGTATTATTTTGTCTGCAAATGTTTGGTTATCTTTAACAGCAAAGCTGCCTGGGTCTGGAGTTTGATTTATGGAAAAGTTTTGAACTGAAAAAACCCCTGAAGGTGTCCAATGCATAATTTGCACAAGTATAAGCACTCATTCTGAACTGGACAGTTTGCAGCTATCGATATTATTTTTGAATAAATGCATGAATGAAATGGCATGAAATTCACCCTAAGACATACCTGTAAATGTAAATTAATATACATGTATCTGCAAAATGGAGCTCTAGCTTTTTTTTTTTTTTTTTTTAGTGGGCTTTGGCAATTTGTGTGCTTTAATGAATTCATCCTTCACTGTTTGTTAAACTTATTAGTATAAATTTGTTTATAATATTCACTTACTTTTTCAATGTTTGTAGAATTTGTAGCGATGTCCTTTCATATTTATTATATTGGTAATGAGTGTCTTTTCTCTTTTTTTCCCTTACAAGTCTGGCGAATGGATTATCACTTTTGTTTCATCTCAAAAACACAGATTTTAGGATAACTGATTTTATATTTTTTCTTCTATTTCCTATTTTTTCCCCTGATATCTGTATTATTTATTTTTCTGCTTATTTTGTATTTAACTTGATATTCTTTTTGCAGTTTTATAAGATGGTGTTTAAGTCTTTGATGTGAGACCTTTCTTGTTTTCCAATATAGGTGCTTAAGTGGCATAAATTGGCCTGAGATTACTATATTTAAATATATTACACATAATTTGTGTTTACATTTTCATTCATCTCAAAAGGTTCAGTTTCCTTTTATATGTTATCTTTTCTTTTTTTTAGAATTTACTGTTTTAACTCTGGTGACTGCTTTATTAAGATATTATTCACATATCAAGCCATTCACACAATTGAAGTGTAAATTTTAATAGTCTTTAGTTTATTCACAGGATTGTGCAACAATAACCACAATCAGATTTGAAATATTTCATCAGCTGACATTTATCGACTAGTTACCATGTGTCAGGCACTGTTCTGTTTTACTTTTATTGTCTTATTTAAGTCACAAAATCCAGTGAATAAGATGTTATTGTTACTATCCCTATTACAGAAATTATGAACCTGAAGCAGAGAGAGGTTACTTAAGTGGTCCAGGTTCTTGTAGTGAGTAAGTATAAGGAGAGGGAGGGATTCAAACATAGGCCCTCAAACGCCATAGCCCATATACTTTTCTATAATGAGAAAAAAATTGATGACCTCATTAATGAAATGTTAATATTGAAGGACTGAGCAAGACACTCCAGTAGACATTTCCAGTTGGTATTTACAAGTAAAAACTGTAGAAGGGATGAAAGCCATTAAAAGTTATTTTGATGATATCCTAGAAGAGAAAACACCTGAAGTGAGTTACTACAATCCATGGAAATTTTCCAATAAAAGCATAAGAAAGCCTGGAGGTAGACTCTGTGGAAAACTTCCATTTAAGATGTAGGAAGAAAGAGAGGACCAAAACAGTAGATTTCCCCACAGAGATCGGGATGATGAAGAGACAGGAGTTTACATTTAACTTTGCTTTAAGGGATGTACAATCCTTAGAGTAAAGGGAAAACTTGAGTGAAATGTTGAGCCCCTAAGGAACACAGATATGGCTCAGGGTGTAAACATAATCCCATTATTTTCCTATTACTGTAGAATCTGTCCCCTGGGGAAAGAACTGAGCAAGCTTCCACCCTGTTTATAACCAAGTGCATTATGTCATTAAATTTACATTAAATCTTCTGTATCTTATCAGGGGCAAATGTGATAGTAATGAAGACTTTACTTTTCTCTGTTGCTGGAGAGGACTCAAAGCCATAATCATAAATAGAGATTTGTAGTTCAAAAATATTTCCAGAGCATATCAAATATTAAAGTCTGAACTGCATTGTCTTAGAATCAAAAGGAGTCAAAACCACAGAGCCTAAAATTACTCTCAGGGCCACAGAGAGAAATAACAAGGGTAAGGAAGCACCAAGGTATTCTGGCCTAAGGACGGTGAGTTGCTGAATTACATTTATGTTAATGTCCTCCCTTTTGGAAATGGAAGTCCAGGGATCTAATATGTACTGTTTATCCCATTTAGTGCAATCCCAAGACTCAAGTGAAACTGGGGGAAGAATGTGTTTGAGTGGGGAGCAGACAATGTTCAGAGACGTCACTGGGCTCAGTGGTTGCAGTATCTCCAACTGTAAGTTCCCTCTCCATGGACAGATCCCTTTCTGCTCTAGATTTATGACTTTTTATGTCCCACTGTGATGAGAAACAGTAATTTAACTTCTCCTAGACTCTAGTCCCTTACTTTTAGATTATAAACAATGTTCTTGGCTCTCCCCCCACCAAAGTCTACTCTGCAGTAGAGGCCAGCCCAGGGTGTTAATACATCTGCCTCCAAATTTACCAGTGAGGGGAGGGCTGAAGTGAGTGAAGCCATGATGAGATTCTGTTCCGGTCCACCCTTTTTCTCCCTCATTCTTTGTTTTTCCAGCAATCATTTTTGCATATCTGTACATTGGTGGTGCTCTGTAAAGGCTGATTCTGTGTGTTCAGGTTGGTCTATTCTCAGACGTTTGCAGCATGCACTTCACACTTCTGGGTGAACCTATTGTAGGAAAAGGTGGGTTGTCCTCTAATGTACCCCTTTTCTCCTGTGCCCACAGATTCCCTTTGAGAAGAATGGCTCCTGGAAATGGCTCTTTCGTGACTGAATTCATTCTGGTGGGGTTAACAGACCAACTCGAACTCCAACTTCCTCTATTCCTCATATTTCTAGTGATGTATGTGGTCACTGTCTTGGGAAATTTGGCCTTGATAACCCTAACTGGGCTGAATTCACATCTTCACACCCCCATGTACTTTTTCCTCTTTAACTTATCCTTCGTAGACCTCTGTTATTCTTCTGTGTTTACACCCAAAATGCTGATGAACTTCATATCAAAGAATAATATAATCTCCTACATGGGGTGCATGACCCAGCTCTACTTTTTCTGTTTTTTTGCCATTTCTGAATGCTATGTGCTGACGTCAATGGCCTATGATCGCTATGTGGCCATCTGTAACCCTCTGTTATATAACATAGCCATGTCCCCTGAAGTGTGTTCCAACCTGATGCTTGGTTCATACTTGATGGCCTTTTCTGGTGCCATGGCCCACACTGGATGCATGCTGAGACTAAGCTTCTGTGATGCCAACACCATCAACCACTATTTGTGTGACATCCTCCCTGTGCTCCAGCTCTCCTGCACCAGTACCTATGTCAGTGAGCTGGTGGTTTTCATTGTGGTGGGCATCAACATTATTGTTCCCAGTCTCACCATCTCTATCTCTTATGGTTACATCCTGTCCAGCATCCTCCAAATTACCTCCAAGGAAGGCAGGTCCAAAGCTTTCAGCACATGTTGTTCACACATAATTGCTGTTTCTCTGTTCTTTGGATCCAGTGCATTTATGTATCTCAAACCATCCTCTGCTGGGTCTTTGAATGAGGGAAAAATATCTTCTGTTTTTTATACCAATGTGGTTCCCATGATGAACCCATTAATCTACAGCTTGAGGAATAAAGATGTTAAATTTGCCCTGAGAAAAACCCTGAGTAGGAGAAAGTTCTGATTAGACACGGTATGTTTCTCTACAGATAGTCACAGCAATGAGAGATCCTTTGTGTTTAATTACAGTATTTAAAAAATTTTTAATTGACATAATAACTTTACATATTTATGGAATACAGATTAATATTTCAGCACATGTATACAATGTGTTATGATCAAATAGGTGTAATTAGTATATCTACCACCACAAACATTTATCATTTCTTTATGTTGAGAACATTTGAACTCTCCTCCTGTCATTTAAATATATAAAATAAATTATTGTTAATTATAGGCACCTAGCACCACTATAGAACACTATTACTTATTCTTCACATACGTTTGCATGAGTTAACCAACCTCTCTCCCTATCCCTCCTCCCCTTTACTCTTCCCAGCATCTAGTAAACACAATTCTACTTTCTACTTCTATGAGCTCAACTTTGTCAGCTCCCACACATTGGTGAGAACACGTGGTATATATTGTTCTGTGCCTGACTTACTTCACTTAACATAATGTCTTTCAGACTCATCCATGTTGCCTTGAATGGCAGGATTTCTTTTTTTTTCTTTTTTTTATTACTGAGTAGTATTTCATTGTGTATATATATCACATATGCCACATATTCTTTCTCCATCCATCTGTTGATGCTTAGGTTGATTCCATATCTTGGCTGTTGTGAATAGTGCTGCAATAAACATGTGAGTGCAGACATTTCTTCAGTATAGTGATTTCCTTTCCACTGGATAAATACCCAGTAGTGGAATTGCTGCATCATATTGTAGTTCTATTTTCTTTCTTTTTTTTTTTTTTTTTGGAGGAACCTCTATACTGATGTTCATAATGACTGTACTAATTTACATTTCCACCAACACTGTTTGAGAGTTCCCTCTTCTCCACATCCTTGCCAGCATTTTTTTTCTTTTTAATCATAGCCATTCTAACTGGGGTAAAATGGTATCTCATGGTTTTGATTTGCACTTCACTGATGATTAGTGATGTTGAGCATTTTTTCATATACCTGTTGGCCATTTGTATGTCTTCTTTTGAGAAATGTCTATTCAGGTCATTTGCCCATTTTAAAAAAAAACAAATTATTTGTTTTTTTGCTGTTGAGTTGTTTCAGTTTTGTGTGTATTCTGGATATTAATCCATTGTCAAGTAACTAGTTTGCAAATATTTTCTCCCATTTTGAAGGTTGATTCTTCACTCTGTTAATTGTTCTTTGCTGTGCAGAAGCTTTTTAGTTTGATGTAGTCCCATTTGTCTGTTTTTTATTTTGCCGCCTGTGCTTTTGAAATCTTTTCCATGATATCTTTGCTCAGACCAATGTCTTGAGGCATTTCCCTTATGTTTTCTTCTAGTGGCTGTATAGTTTCAGGTCTTAAGTGTAAGTCTTTAATTCATTTTGAGTTGACTTTTGTATATAGTGAAAGTGGTCTAGTTTTATTCTTCTATCCAGTTTTCCCGGCACCATTTATTGAAGAGGCTGTTCTTTCTCCAGTGTATGTTCTTGGTGTCCTATCAAAGATCATTTGGCTGTAGATATGTGCATTTATTTATGTGTGCTCTCTTCTGTTCCATCAGTCCATGTGTCCGTTTTTATTCTAGGACTTCTATAGCTTTGTAATGTATTTTGAAGTCAGGTAGCGTGATTCCTCTAGCTTTGTTCTTTTTCTAGGGATTGCTTTGGCTATTGGAGGTCTTTTGTGGTTCCCTATGAATTTTAGGATTGGTTTTTTGTTTTTTCTGTGAAGAATGTCATTGGTAGTTTGATAGGGATTGCATTGAATCTGTAGATCGCTTTGGGTAGTATGGTTGTTCTGACAATATTAATTTTTCCAATGCATTAACATGGGGTGTCTTTCCAATTTTTTGTGTCCTCTTTAATTTCTTTCATCAGTGTTTTGTAGTTTTCAGTGTAGAGATCTTTCAACTCCTCAGTTAAATTTGTTCCTAAGTATTTTATATTACAGTATTTTTAGTGGCACCTTTCTTATCCTATTTTTTTCTTATCATGGCTAAGGAAATTTGTGACTTCTCTTGATTTGCTTCCAATTTTATTATAGTAGGTTTTCTTTCTTCGCCATTTGCACAGTTTCCCTTTTTGCCATTTTACCTCTTTAAGAATAACGTTAAGGAAGTAATTTATCTCTTTTTAAAATTGTCATTATGAACTTCATTTCTCCTGGAAAATGATGAATGGTTCTGCAAATGGTCAAGTAAAGAAACACTAGGTTAACATTATGTCATTGGGCGGGACCGTTCTTATCTGCCACTTGCAATGAAGCATGAGTCAGACAATCTGTCTGTACTTGTGTCTGTCCATCCGCCACCAGAAGGAAATACATCTCTTTCAAATTCTGGTGTTTCCTTAAAGACTATGAAATACAACCCACTTTGCAGTTGTAAACACTATGCAGTAAATTTCTTTTGACAGAGATCTTATATTTACTTCTGTATACAGTTAAACTAGTATATACTAGATCATGAATATATATTTATCGCATGAACAGAATACTGAAGCTCAGAGAGGTTAATGATTAAAGTCACACAGTTAAAGAAAAAGCCTGGAATAAACTGTTAGTCTGCTGATTGCAAGTCTACTACTCTTTCTGGTGTACTTTCTGTCTACTTCATTTTATTATTTTCATTTCACTAAGCATTTCTGCTTTGGAAGTTGACTGTGATTTGTTCTTGAATGATAAATGAATTTATCTAAGGGTGGTTGTTGGATTATTTTCTTGTTCAGAAAAACAATTTGATGGTTCTTTTAGTTGGGAAAGAAGAAGCCTGTGGGCAGAATAGTTGGAAGATGATTGACTTGAGTAAAAAAAATAACTTTTTTTGCAAAAAAAAAAAAAGAATTTGAAATGTTACAGTGTCTTGTAATTGATAGAATAGGGGCTTGTGAAAATGGAGCTCTTAGGCCAGGATCCTGAAAGACACATAGCCAATAAATAAAAGGTCCATGAGTGGGAAATGGTCAATGAAGATTTAGAAACAGCGTTTTATCTCTATTTGTATCCTGTAGAGTACTGTAATTACCCTGCACTGTACATCAAACATTGATTAAACTTATAATCCACAATAACCATATGTTAAGAGTGTTTTTGGGGAATGAAGGTGAAACAGCTGTGGCCACATTTGTGGGGAACCAAGAAGAGAGAGGACAACAATTTCAGGAGATGAAATAGTGGTTGGCAATTGAAACTCAAGTTAGGGAGAAGGGATTTAGAAAGTAAAAAGATGTGAAAATTAAAGCTTTTACCTATAACACTCCTCCTTTGTGGAGGCCCCACAAATACGAAGATCACAGAATTTCTCTGGATATGGTGCAGACTTACATGATTTGAATTAAAAAATGGTTGAACCCCGAGGGCAGGAGGACCTGGGAACAACTAAATCACTCACGTTTTTGTTGGCTTTTATATGCTACTCCCATATAAATTTTAAGGTATGAAAACCCTGTACAGCAACTGGGAGAACAATGATAATTTGAAAGGCGCATTTGGTGAATAAAACAAATTGTGACAATGTCTGTTTGAGAGTAGGATGATAGATTATTTTCCTTGTGAGAAAATAGGCAAAGAGATAACTATTCTGAAAATTCCTTTTTTTTTTTTTTTTTTAAAGATAACCGGTAAAGGGATCTTAACCCTTGACTTGGTGTTGTCAATACCACGCTCAGCCAAGTGAGCAAACTGGCCATCCCTATATAGGGATCCGAACCTGTGGCCTTGGTGTTGTCAGCACCACACTCTCCCGAGTGAGCCACGGGCCGGCCCCTATTCTGAAAATTCTTAATATGACCTATCAAGTGGCAGTTTGAACATGTTCTAAGATTGTAACAATACATGCTATTTTAACATTTTTCTAATTTTCCTTCAGTATTTAGATATTGTGAAATTTTGCCTAAGTGCATTGTTGACTTGTTTGTTTGCTTTTACATGGTCAACACTGCTAAATTCTTGACTTATCAACCATTGAATGACAATAGCCACTCACTGCCTATCCGATGGCTCCTCAGTCAACATGCTTGATTTTCACTCAAGAAGTTCTATTTATATAATAAAACAGATGAACTTGGTTGGAGTTTTCCTTTGTTTTACTTTTACTTACTGTCTCCTTGAATAAAATTGTTTTCCTTATTGAATAAATGTGTATTTAAATAAGAAAATAATATCTGTGTTATTTGGTACCCTTTGTAGACATCACAGAGGTGTGTTTCACTCTGTATTTTATCACCATTTGAAGTTGCCAAAGAGTGAATGAAACAGGATCACTAATCTTTCATATAAAAACCCTCAAAATACAAATGAAATGTTTCATTTTAAGAAAAGACAAATTTTCTTTAAAATTAAGTTTCATACTTTCACCTTATTTTGGTAAATTAATTTAAAAGTTTAAATACAGCTTGTAAAAGTTATGTTTGAAAAGGAGCAATTTAGCAGATAGATTTTTAGTTAGCAGGTTAAGCTCTATGTATTGATATGGATTTTTTTCAAAAGGAGAGTAATCAAGTCTGGGTGTTTACATGCAGTACATAAAGTTACCCCTTGTAGTTGTTGTTATGTGAATGGCATGAAAGAAGTTATGAGAGAAAATACAATTCTATTGAAGTCATAGCTGAGTTAAAATGGAAAGCCATAGAATTTGTCATACTAGTGTACTAGGAAGGGGATGTTTTGGACTTTCTGGTGATATCAGAAAGCGGTCCTCCTAGTTCAGGATCAGAAAGAAAGTTTCTGGATTATACGCTGAATTTGTTTATTGTAAACTTCTTCTTAGCAAGCTGCTATTGCTGCTCAGTATTGGTTTTGGAATGAGTATGACCAGCGCACTCTGCTTAAAGTTAGTGGGAAGAGGTGTTTGGGTTCTGTATCTTTTTACTTCCTCAACACCCAGTCTTCATTGAAGCACACTCTGTACTACTGTTTGCACTGACTTTCTACATGAAACACATGCACACACACACACACACACACACACACACACACACACACACACACACTGTCTACA